GAAAGACGCCGGGCGTACGACATACTGTTTCTTCCTTGATGTACAAAAAGCCTACGACACCGTATGGCGCAATGGATTGTGGAAAAAGATGTGGGACATCGGCATCCGGGGGAAAATGTGGAGGATGTTGAAAAAGATGCCAGAATGCACAAGAAGTGCGGTGATGTTGGATGGGGAAATTTCGAAGTACGTGGATATACTCCAAGGAGTCGCACAGGGCTGTACGATGTCACCCACTCTTTTTAAGATTTACATCAACGATTTGATAAGGGCGGTTGAAGCAGTAAGACAGGGAGTCCAAGTAGGGGGAAAGAGTGTGTCCGGACTGATGTTTGCAGATGATTTCGTGGGGGTATCCGAAACACCAGAAGGGTTGCAAGAACAAATAGATGCGGCGGTAGGATACACCCGAAAATGGAGACTGTCGGCGAACGTAGGAAAATGCGCAGTAGTGGTCTGTAACGAAGACAAGAAAAATCCTGTAGAATTCAAATGGAAATGGGGGGAGGAAGAACTACCTGTAGTAGACAAGTATACGTACCTGGGAGTAGAGATTTCGAAGGAGTGCTCATGGGACGCACACATAGCAAAGTTGATTGGAAAGGGTAAAGCTCAGATAGGCAAGATGGACGAGATCCTTACGGACCCACACCTAGACACTAGGATTAAGAGGTGTATTCTCTTGAATGTGATTGTACCTAAGCTAGAGTATGCAGGAAAGGTATGGGAAGGTAACGAAAAGGCCGTCAAGCAGCCGGAAACGGTGCAGATGGTAGCGGCCAAGAAAATACTAGGATGTTCAAGTACAACGAGCAACACTGTATTGAGAGCAGAATTGGGAATGTACTCTCTTAAAACAAAGAGAGACATGCAGAAGTTGAATTGGCAGTACAAGGTAAGTATAGACTACCAGCCATGGTTGACAAGGCAGCTTGGGGAAAAGCGACTCCAGGGAAGAAGGGAATCAGATGGGACAAGGTGGTAGAGAAGGTTTGGAAGGAGATAGGAGACGAGGAGGAGACGTTGGACACGGAAGGGTTCGGGGGGTTCAAGACGAAAGTCAAGGAGATGCTAGAGAGTAGGGAGGAGGCAACCCTTCGGAAGAAGGTACGAAGCGAAGACCACTTGGAGATATACGGGAAGTTGAAAGAAGGGATAGGGATGAAGACGTACTTGGACGGCCCCATGGACTACGCGAAAAAGCTGAAATTGCAATTTCGAGTAGGCGATCTGGACTTGCCAGAACGGAGGAAGGGGTATACCAGCCGTAGGAGAGAGGAAGAGGAGGAAAGACACACATGTCCATGTGGCAAATCGGAGGAGAGTAGACCCCACATAGTTGGGGAGTGTGAGTGTACAGGAAGGAAAGAGAGGATCTCGAGGAGGAAATGAGACAGAGAGGGTGTGACATGGACAAGTTTGGTAAATTAGACAACAGCGAAAAAACGATCGCGATAATTGGGGATAGATGGTGGGCACAAGAGGCCCTAGAGGACGGGGATAAGATGTGCAAGAATTTTTTTATGTAGTTTGTGGCAGAAACGTAAAGAGCTCCCAAATGTTGGTGGTGTCTCTAGTAGTGGTAGGAACGGTGCTCCGTCTCGAAAGGGACGCGTGGTCAATGGTCAAATGACGGCAAGCAACAAATGAGTACGCCCCCCCCCCCCCCTCCCCTCTGGACCAATTGAAAACCCCCTAACCGCAACCTCACCCTT